ATTTGAAATTACCTGAGCTGTTTTGTTTCTACATCAATAGGATCGTGGGTTTCACTATCGATGTGGAATCGTACTTCAGTGGACGCCAGACTTAAAGCTCTGGAAAAAAACATATTAAACACCATCAATACACAATAAACACAAAGTTCTGTTTAGTGCAACATCACACATGAACAACRTAAATATTGGAATCAACTATATTACTGATTAAAACACGAAGAAATGAAACAAACATGACTTGTCAAAGCACCATTGTAGCATCTGACCAACTATTTACCCAGCATTCGTGCCGACTCAGAAAAGAGAAAGGGAGAAAAGCAAAGAGCTGGGAGAATTGAGAAGCTCTCATTTCTTCCCTGCCCCCTCCCCCACATCGGCTACTATTAGTTACCCCTTATCGATACGTCCTTTCTTCAGTATCTTTGCCAGTTCATTCAAGTGCCGCAGACTAATCGTGACTTCATCGTTCTGCGATAAGTCGTCGATTCGCATTTGAGCTTCAGCGTAGGTCAACGATGCCTGGGACGAGAGAGAAAAYGAGTTACAAAACAGTCACAATATTCTAGGTGTTCTTTATCTTTATACAGACAAACTTCATATCACAACATGATCATCACTAGCAAGTCTGACACAAAATTACAACAGTAGACCTTTCCTGAATTCGCTTGGATGATCACAAAAGAATAGTCTCAAGTYGAGACTGAACTTGGTTCTTTTTTCTATCAACTCCARCCTCGAGCTGAAACCATTGYTTCGTGTTCAAMCACGTGAATTCGGAAAAGRTCTACRCTGACAACATAAACTAAACATTCTCAYATCACATGACACGCCACATCCTATACWGTAATTAAACGTATACCTCTATAACCTCAGTTGCAGACGTCTTATGTGGTGCAGAAGCTTATTCGTACTAATTTTTGCGAGCACTTTCGCAATTTGGACCACTGAATATTTTGCGCGCATTAATTTTCGCGATTTTTTTTAAAAAAGGATAAATTTAGTGCATTTAATTTCGCGAATATTGAAAAACAGGTGGACGCACAGACTTAAAAATCCTTTTTTTATTGGATGATTACTTAAACGATAATCGATTTGCAATCAAGATTTTCATATAAAGAAGTTAAATGATTAAAGCAACTATAAAAGTGCATTAAATTTCCCGCGTTTAATTTTCCCGGATCCTTTTTTTCGCGAGGATTTTTTTAAATCGCGCCGAAAATCGCGAAATTAAAGCCTCGCGAAAATTAGTACGAATAAGGTATATAAGACACCTAAATGGACCTTGATAATACCTTTGAGCAAATGATACTTTTCGTGAATTTTGTATCAACAATTTTCGCGTCTGGAGTGACTTCCCATATACAAGAGAAAGCCAACCTGAAGGTGAAATATTTGATTACTRCACTRTGTAGATGATGAACAACAATAGAAGCGGTTACACGAGGACTATGAATATCGCTATCCAACTACCAATTGTAAACAGGGTAAATAGAGGTATACACCGGGTAAATCCTCCTTATCCTGCAGGATAAAATCAGGGTCCGTGCAGAGTATCAAAAACGGAATTTAAGGACTTAATTTTCAAGGACCAAAATTGTATTTTGAAGGAACGTCATAATCATGCTAATTGTACATTCTTACCTCACAACTTCAACCGAACAGAATAATTCCGAGATCGCTATCGCTTCGTGATAGAGATCCATCTTTTTCAAGGACTCTTCAAGGACTTTTTCGAAATTTTTAAATTTTCAAGGAGTTACAAGTGCCCTTGAAAACGAGTTTTCAATTCAAGCACTTTTCAAGGACCCTGCAAAATCCATACAAAATCTATGTAGTGGATAACTTTATCCATCCTTAATATAACCGACCCCAGGGTATTGCACTTTTAAGTACATTAAAACATGTACTCTACCTGTCTACATTAGATCGCAGTGAGCAAAGGTTGGAGCTCAGCAGTCCAGGAACCATGTCAATTCGCTGAAAATCAACAAGAAGTTAGATTAATGAA